TCTAGGACGGGGGAGTAGTGTTATAGGAACTGCGGAACACTGTTCTAGAGGCTTAGGACAGTGAGGAATACGAGTGACGGGTTGTGATGCGAGGACGGTCGGGTAACGGAAGGACAAGCATAGAAAGGTATTGGGTAGTGTGGGGGCACGCGGTGTTACCACACTAGTCCCATACTATTATGACGGCACGCTTACTATGGGGTGTCTCACCCGAAATAGAATAGGAAGCGGGGCTTACGGCTGTAGGCTGTTCTACTTAGGGAAGTAGGTCTAAGATAATAGTATGGTACAGCCCGATGACTGGCAATTGCAAGGTTCATGGTTACCTGTCGGAATTAGAATGGAGGACGGAACTATGCGGGGGCGCTTTTCTATATGGGTTATCTTCGGGAGCATTATCTTATTCTATTATCGTTGTATCCGTTACTATTAGAAAGCGGGCCTTGGCATAGGTTCCAACATGTATAAATAGGGCTCGGTTCTGCGAAGACTTGAGGGTATCACCAACCATCAAGTCAAGGGAATCCGGTTTACAATATCATCAGTTTGAACGCTACAGAATTACCGCTTAGCACTGGCCACCTCCCCAAACAGTTGATACACTGCCATAGAGGATGGCTGACGTAATTGCGAATGGGGGTGGGTACAGAAAATGGTGAGGAAGCTTTCTACTGGTGTCGAACAATTTATTTATTTGTATTTTCTTTCTCTATCAACGGGTTACAGGTGAGGTCTCCCATAACCCTGGCACTTCCCTGTTCCGGACACGGTCCATTCTCAGCCCCAATCATCAATTTTCTGGTTCATATACTGGTCAGCGAGTATGTGTAGGAATCTGCTCGGGTTTAAGCGACGCCCGCTCCCCTCCGGAGAGCGCCCCATAATTACACCAGGCATATGCATCACTGCATTTCCCCTAAAAGTGGAACACTCATCTCATATTGACTATAGTGGACCTCAGCGTGTCCGGATGGTTTTTGAGCAGGCATTCCTCTCTTCACTTCAGTGCTCGCCTACACCACTCGAGTGTGTTGTCGTGTCTTTCTAGCTTATTCAACACCAAGGCAATATAATGACACTGCGTTTGATGCTTTGTCTCTTTTTTTACAACCTTATTAAGCCTTCCCTGTTACCATTTACGCACTATAGAATGGATCCAGAGACCGTGACTTGAGTTTTTGCACTTGGCTAACGAAGAAAAAATATTTTTTCAATAGAATCACCTATAGAGTCAGTCATTATACCTAAAATTAGCGAGCGATTTTCGGAAATTCTTTCAGTCATTCCAGGGATAGAAGCCCTCCCATATGTATTCGTTCCATGTCGAAAAATCTACAACTGCTATGCAGCAGGCTATGTTGATGTGCAGTATATCCGTACAGAGATGGGTATTTCTACCACTGCCCATGCCTTATACTCATTTCTGATGGGATGAACTTAGGGTTAAGGTCAGCCCCCCCCATCCCCAAAAACATGGAGACCCCTATAGTATGCAGTTCTACGTGCCATACAGTCCCCTTCATCCACTTCTCCCTTGATATATAGGGGACGTACGGTTGACTTGTTTTTGCCACTGAGTACAAGCGTCGTGAGGCGTTTATTCTACCTGTATGGGATCATTGTATCCCGACTGAAAGCAAGTTTGCACCTGCAATACATACAAATTTGCAAGGTTTCACTACTTTCTCCGCTATAACCCTCACCTCCACAGCCTACACATCCATAGCCCACGCTTGCACCACCACCTCACCGCCAACAAATCTAAATCAGTAAAGAACAATGGAGTCATATATAATTAGATGTCAACGGTGCACTAATCCCACTAATCTGGACTCTCCATGCTCCTTGTCATTTCCACCTACCATGGTGGACTAATCTCTGAAATGACAAATGATTCTTCGGTTATTCGGGTCATCTGAAATATCATATATGCTGTAACCTGGTTTTGATTCCTTGGGCAGTGGTGAATGATATCAAATTTGACAGATAGTATTGTGAGGATTCCCCCTTCATAGATCAGCTGCCGGTACCTTACCTGCTATCTTGATTACCACCTCCTGCTTGTATTTACTACTGGATTTAGACAACTTTACGAACACCGCTGCAGGAATCGAATCAATCGCCAAATCGAGTCCCACATCGGTGTACAATGGGGATTGAATTGACATTATACTCATTTCTGATGGGGTGAACTTAGGGTTAAGGTAAGCCCCCCATCCCCAAAAACACGGAGATCCCTATAGTATGCAGTTCAACGTGCCGTACAGTCCCCTTCACCCACTTCTCCTTTGATATATAGGGGACGTAGGGTTGACTTGCTTTTGCCTCCTAGAACAAGCGTCGTGAAGCATTTGTTTTACCTGTATGGATGCATTGAATCCTGACCGAAAGCAAGTTTGCACCTGCGATACATAGAAATTTGCAAGGTTTCACTACTTTCTCAGCTATAACCCTCACGTCCAAAGCCTACAAATCCATAGCCCGCTCTTGCACCACCACCTCACCGCCAACAAATCCACATCAGTAAAAAACAATGGAGTGATATTTAATTAGATGTCAACGGGCGACTAATCCCACTAATCTGTGCTGTCAATGCTCCTTGTTGTTTTCACCTACCACGGTAAACTAATATCTGAGATTTCCAATCATGCTTTGCTTATTCGGGTAATTTGAAATATGAGATATGCCGTAACCTAGTTCCGATTCCTTGGGCAGTGGGGAAAGTTATCAAATTTGATAGATCATACTGTGAGGATTCCCCTTCATACCTCAGCTTCCTGTACCGTACCTGCTACCTTGAATATCACCTCCTGCTTGCATCTACTACTGGATTTAGATAACTTTACAAATACCACTGCAGGAACCAAATCAAACGCCAAATCGAGTCACAAATTGTTGTACAATGGAGACTTAATTGACATATACTTGGTGTTGAATCGTGCACTAAAGTACCCTGTATCGATAGCAGGTAGGCAACAAATTGTGCACTGACTCAAGTAACAAGTTGGAACAGAAGTCTTTTCGAGTAGGAGAATGTCGGACAGCATTTTGAGGTTGCCCGGGAACCGTCGCCCCACAATTCCCGATTCCGTGCCTACTGATTAAATAGGCCGCTCCAAGTCCATCGCCATCTTCAAATATGTAGGTACCGGGGGTCATGGTCGTGATAGCAGGGGTCTAGGTGGTGGTTGAGGGCTGTTGAGTAGGGTAACTCCTTGTGGCTCTGGGCGACCGCATCCGGCGAATCCCACTCCTCATCCATCAGGAACCCGTGCATGTCTTCAGGAGACACCGGAGGCTTGGGAGACACCCCACCAACTTTAATTCTCTGGAGGCGGTTGGCCCGTTCGGAGGCCTCCCGGGCCTTCGCTAATGCTCAGGAGGCTCTCGCGACGCTCAAGCACGCCCCCTCGACACTCTCCGGAGCCTGCATTCATCATATCCGGTTATTCTCTCGACGCCTCGCAACGTCGCTACGATGGCCTCCTGAGCCTTTCAAACGCTTCAGGAGGCTCAATATCACTACACCGAATCTCTAGAGATCCTCCGCGGCGCGATTCTTGCCTACAGCTCCCCGAACGGGTTTCTTCATCCGGTGTAGTATCGCGAAACCTCAAGGGGTTGTCCCAGCCTACTAGAAAGCCTTTTGGAAGGCTTACCGAGCCTCCCACTTATTACCACTGGATTACTGGAGCGAGTCACCTCTCACGCTCTCTCCCGAGGGCTTACCGGGACATCTAGTGGTCTCCTAAGGCTATTCCTTGCCCTAGCACTATCTCCCATGCTCTCCAGAGGGCCTACCAATCCCTCCTGCGTTATCATGAGCTAGTTAAATTCGTGCCCCACCCTCCCACGCTCTCCAGAGGGCCTACCAAGCCCTTCTATGGTGTCCCGACCCTATTCTTGGCACAAATACCCCTCCTCCACTATCTCCTGAGGGCCCACTAAGCCCCCCTGTACTCTCCCGACGCCATTCTTGGCACTGACACCCCTTCCCACGCTCTCCAGAGGGCCCACCAAGCCCTCCTGTAGTCTCCCGACGCCATTCTTGGCACTGGCACCCCTTCCCACGCTCTCCAGAGGGCCTACCAAGCCCTCCTGTAGTCTCTCGACGCCATTCTTGGCAACAACACCACTCCGACACTCTCTCCTGAGGGCCCACTAAGCCCTCCTGTAGTCTCTCGACGCCATTTTTGGCGCTGGCACTATCTCTTACGGCCTCCTGAGGGCCCACTAAGCCCTCCTGTAGTCTCCCGACGCTATTCTTGGCACTGGCACCCCTTCCCACCCTCTCCAGAGGGCCCACCAAGCCCTCCTATAGTCTCTCGACACCATTCTTGGCACTGGTACCCCTCCCATCAGCAAACCTGTAGCCTTTGCCAGACGCCCGGGGCGCTCAGGGCGCTCAGGGTGCTCGGTAGGTAAACTACCTCTCCAGAGATACCGCCAGTGCTCCTGGCGAGGTCTGGCGCACATTATTCCGCCCCGGCGCACACTAGTCCGCACAACGGGCCCCGACACTAAATAATAGCGCCCGGTGTAACTAGGACGTCACTCTACCCGCCAGAGAACGCCAGTTGCACGGTTGGATATCCTGACTGCTCCTGGAGCACTCTTCACTGCTCCAGCGGGCTCTGGGGATAGAATGATTGCCCTGACTCCCCCTGACGTTGCCGGATGGGGTGCTTTGAAATCTGGCTCATGCCCGACGTACCGATTCCTACATGTCGGCGCCCTGTTCTCTCTAGGCATACACCTCTCCCCCGTTCCGGCCTCTGGTATTCACAATTCCCCCATGAGATTACAAAAACATCACTCGCACGACGATCTCCACTGTCTCCAGACCACTCGCGACTGCACTTTGAGAATTGGTGTATTCAACACCGTGATCCTCCGCCTAATACTAAATACAATACGCCATTTAACACCCTAACTAACCCTAATACAATATACGAATCAGAAGAAATCCCCCACTATCTCCCTTAGCACTCGTGATTGTTCTACACATCCTCCTCCACCCCCCCTTCGTAATCCCCCGCTACAGGTAATTCCGGCTCTTCTTCTTCCTCCTCCCCCTCCTCTTCGGTGCCAATGCCGCGAAGTCGGGCATTAATCACTTCGTCCTGGGCGCTGTCGGAATCAACCCGACCTCCTGGAGCACTCGTGGGTGTTCTCCGAGCATCTCGGAATGCAGCAAGATCCGCAGCCCGAGCTTCATCGTCCTAGCTAAAACCCTCCTCCGGTATAATCTCAATCGTTACCCCTTTTTTATCTCGTATCTATTAGGGTTAGCATTTAGAATACCTCTCGCATTACCGGCATCTAGAAGTATCATACCTTTTCTCGAAGGTTATCTTTGATTACCTCCAAGGTTGCCTCCTGGTTCTGTTTACTTCTCCCCTTCCAAGTGTTGCTCATCCTGTTGAACGTTTCTACTCGTGTTTGGATGTCAGCTTGGCAATCCCGTATAGCCCTAGGAGCATCCGTCACTGCTCCCAAGGCACTCGCCATATCAATGAGGGCATCGGGCCATACTTACTCACAACACTCTCATTCTGCGACTGAAAATTATCAGGCTTCACGTAACTCCCTGTTGACCACGCCCGAATGCCGTGCCAGATCGCCGTCGATATCAGGCAAATAAGGGTAGGGGTTATCCGCTCTAGAAATTCGGGATCCCTAACCCCTCGCATTCTTACCCCATCGAAGTATTTAAAATACAATATATCGATAATTTCCGGAGCCAGGAAGCGCAGTCGGTAGGTCTAGAATCTGTTACCGGCTATCCCGAGTGCTCTCTGGGCATCCACTGGCATCATACCTCGTAATGCTGTTGAGGGCTCAAGAAACGATCATTCTTCAAAAGGTATTCCACTTGAGCCGCCCTCGCCTCAGGCCCCACAAAATCTCCAAGCCCGTATATCGTAGAGTCCGCCAGGCGCCCTTTCACCTCGTGCATCAAGTGGGAACGGACACGGGAGTGCAGACTTCTGACCTATCATTCTCAATTATGCTTCTAGAGCACTCGTAATCCTTTTGGGGGCACTCACCTGTTTAATAACAACCTCATCAAGGTCTACCCTACACCCCACTCGGCGACTAGCAGTTACCCACATGCTCACTACCAGTACCGAAAGTCTTGCTGCAGGTGGAAAGGGCTCATGTAGCAGAGTATGCTCCCCGATTAACACGCTACACTCCTTCTCAATCCTCTGAGCCTGCACTGACAGCACATTTGCACTCCTAGAGTTAGGGACCACAGACCTCTGAGTCAATTGGCTCGAAGGAATGTCGCCAGTGTTCTCAAAGACGTCGTGAGTGTCCTCCGGAATACTAACCTCGCTTCCCGGAATCAAAATACCCTCGCTTTCCGGCATCGGAGTACTCTCGTCCTCCTACCTAGATGAGGGAAGGTACTCGATTTCGTAGACTCTTCGCGATCTACCTTGACCGTGAAGTTGGCTTGAAGGAATCTGACGACTGCTCACAGAGTTCTCGCCAATTACCTCGCTAGGCGGTGAAGAACGATATGTCCGGTAAGTGGGGGACGACTCCCCGTATCCAGAGCGCATCGAGGAAAAATCGATATGGCGCGTAGAAGAGGTATACTCATGAGCATAAACAGGTGCAGAGGGCCTAGACTGTGAGGGTGTTGGGGGTGCTCTCTGGGATGCCGGGAGTGCTCTCTGGGATGCATTCTGGCTGGGTGCTGAAGTGGGTGCTGCTCTCCCTTGACCTTGTTTACGTATTACTTTCGCGCCCGGTCGAGTTCCCCTCTGAATCGTTAGGCACTAATACTTACATTTTAAAAAGCATCAATGAGCGAGATAGAGTCAAACCTGTACCACGTCCACTGACACCTTGGAAGAAGCAATGACCTCCGCTACCGCGCCAGTTGGTTTCCTCCGAGCATTGCCCAGTGCTCTGGCAGAAGTCGGCTGAACTGTATGAGGTCTCTTTCCGACAGCCTGAGACTTCTGGGTGTAAGATGGGGGGGGGGGCTTGAGGTTCATCCTCCGGTTCATTCTCATCCTCCTGAGAGCTCTCGTGGTCATTCTCCGGAGCATCATCATAGTCTGAGTGGCTAGTATCAACTATTTCTTCCACCTCTGGCGCCTCAATTGCCTCTGGCGCCTCAATTGCCTCAGGCTCCTCCTGCGCTTCAAAATTATCAGTATGATCCTCGGGGAGATGGAATTCTACCCTCCTAGGACTGCTCCTCCCAGTGGGGGTTTCGGAGGAACGGAGAAGACCTTTCCGAGTTATTTGAGCGGCGGTGGTCGATTGACTACTCCGAGTGCGGCCTGGCAGTGGAGTCAATGTTCGGTAAGATATTTCAGACTCGTCAGTCAGTAAATCTTCATGTTCTTCAGGTCGTTTTGGGAGTCGTGGGCGCTTTCGGGCAAGAGGTGCTGAACCGGAGGGGCGCTTGGTGGGAGCCATTCTGATGACTGGCAGGAATATCCGCAGTGCTCTAGGAGCACTCGCGATATCTTTGATTAGAAATCAATTCTTGGCGAGAAGATTTGCGCCGCTAATCAAGAAAAATTTGCACCGCTAATCCTCTTACGGCAGGGATCATCTTTGTTACCACAATTTCTGCACTCAACCGCATCATTTATCATCACTCGTTTTACTGCACTTTCTGAAGCGGTACCGAGTGCTCTGAGAGCAATCTAGGAGTTTGATTCGACTTTGAAATAAAAGCAATGCAATTACTACCTGGAATAATCTAATCTAATCTAATCCAATCTAATCTTATCCGATATAACCCATCTATTGATATACTCTCGCAAGACAAAGGGAAATCCAAAACACCAAATCGTACCGCACCTCAATAGCTATCGCGAGTGCTCAGGGAGTAATCCTAACAACTATTAAAAGGTTAGTGACAATTCCGCAGGAAGGGAAGTTAGAGATTATACCAAAGGGAACTAATGATGCCCACCACCATCACCACCATCACCACCACAACCATCACCACCGCCTCCAGCTGGCCCACCATCACCACCACCACCGCCTCCAGCTGGTCCACCACCACCACCACCACCACCACCACCACCACCACCACCTCCACCACCACCTCCACCACCTCCAGCACCAGCAGGCGCGAGTGCGTCAGCAGCTCTCTTGGCTGCTATCCCGGCAGGTGTCCAGATCATCCCCTGTAAGAAGTTTGGGTCAGCAACCCCGACACCCAAAGGATACTTCCTAAGGTATTTGGGGTCTAAATCGTCGATAGCATCCTGCTGTCTATCGCGACGCCTAACAAGAGTCTGAATTAGCCTTTGATTACTGGCATCAGTTCTAGGGATATATACCCTCAGTCCTTTGGCATTTATCCGGTGCTTTCCCTCCTCGTAATCCGAATCCTCTGCAGGAATATCGATCATGCTATAATCATCTTCCTCAACGTGAGGGAAAGCCGGGTTCAACGGGGGGGATTCCGCACCACCCAGGTTAGCACCCGCGCCTGCTCTGTGGAGGACCGCCAATATCCTCCGAGGCCTGGCATTGCTGTTCTTCAACCAACCTTCGAGCTCCTCTGAATCGGTAATTTGTACCTCCACCGGCCTAACGGGAGGAACAGCTGCCGGGGGGACATTCTCAATTGCCCCCCAAATAGTCCTGACTGCTCTGCCGTGTGCGGTGTGCTTCAGGATCAAGTTGCATAGCTCGGGGAAAGTTATCTTGGTCAAAATTCCGATGAACGAAGGTTCGTTCAGGGGATCATTCCAGTCATAAGTAGGTGGTGGGACGAGCATAAAAAATGCCCCTAGAGCATCGGGGTCCACCACGATAACCATTATGGAAGGTCGCATGAGTTTCGGAGGTACTGCACGCTCTTTCCCTTTGCGAGAGCGTCTTCCGGCTGCCTGACCACCGCCGTCATCATCATCATCACTATCACCGGCAGCCTCTTTGAACTGACGGTCTCCCTGTCCCCTTGATAACCTATCCTTCATACCAACATCTGCAATGAGCCACTGTAGAGCACTCGCCAGTGCTCTACGGGCATCGGAGTCACCCCCAGTCCAAATTGGCAGAAAACCGTTGAGGGAGGGCAAGTTCATCAAGTAAAGGCATAGGGCATTGAACGCAGCCATACCGGACGTGCTTTTATTGACCCAACCCACATTTTGCATTTCCGCCTTTAGGCTGTTGCGGATGCTGGTGTACACTCTAGGTAGGTTGAGTAGACTTAAAGTCATCTTCGCTTTGCTTGTTTGAGTCATCTTGAATGCGGTCGAGATCGGGGATGGCTCTTGAAAACTCGGGGATGTCTCTTGGACAATCGGCGATGGCTCGGGTCTAAGTCGTCTCTGTCGTACTGGTGAGGGGTGGTCTATTAGTTCGGACGGGCTTGCACTAGAAAATAACCGAGAGGGGCGTCGGGGCTTGAATGTAGGGATCTCCGGTGCAAGAACCTTCGGTGGAGCACTGACGGGTGCTGGTGAAGGAGTAGTAGAGCCTGCTGGGCCTGTTGAGCGGCCTGTTGCTGGGCCTGTTGCTGCTGAGCCTGTTGAGCGGACCGCACTAGACTTGGACTGAGTGAGAACTTGACTTGGGACTATGGTCTTCCGGGCAACGTTCTTTTGTGGAGTACTAGCGGGTGCTGGTGGGGTAGCACTAACCCTAAGTACGGTCGTCCGTACAAGGGCCTCTGGTGAAGCACTGCTGCGTGCTGAGGAAGCAGTGGAGACTGCTGCTAGTGGGCCTGTTGCTGGACCTGTTGCTGGGTCTTGATCGTCACTTATGTATGGTTCAGAGGGTTCGGAACTAAAGTCGGGAAAGGAGTCGGAATCAGTTAGGGTTGCTCCTCTCTTACTCGGGAAGATCCCTTCAGTGTCCGATGGAGCTAGGTTAGTATTTGGCGGAGTCCGGGTTTCAGTCCGGATTGGTGGAGGTACAGGGTTTTGTTTTCGGCTCTTGTTGATCGGGGTGAACCCGGAAAGCACTGGCGACTGCTTAGGGGGTGTTTCTGGTATCTCCTCCGGGATAGTCTTGACAGTTTTGCGGGACGATTTGCGACCTGAGGAAGTTCGGTGTTTCTTATGTTTTCGGGACGATTTGTGTTTCTTGGTTTTTCGGTAGGTCTTTTCGTTATCGTCTTCGTCTATGTCACGCAAGCGCTTCTTATTGGGAAGTTGATTTGTGTTCTGTGAGCTACCGGGAGTGCTCTGAGCGGTGTTTGGAGTCTGATAATGTTAATGTATCACTGTGGTGAGTATGGTTCTAAAATTAATTGGATTAGGAGAGAGAAATACCATCTTATTTATAAAGATTGCAAAGGTTAAATCGCTTGAAACGGAGTAACTTGAAGGATGAGATTTCAACAGGTAATGTTGAAAGCAATGGAAAACTTGAAGTGATAGGTAGAGGAGAACTTGAAGGTGGTTAGGAACTTCTCATGAACTTGAAGGAAGGGAGGGGTGCTCGTATACCGAGTACGATCAGCTTTTTTCTTGAGCTTATCATGTTTCCGAGAGCACCCACGAATGCTCTAGAAGCACTCGAGGGTGCTCGTACTCAATGTTTGCTTCAATATATGACGTTGATCTAAATGCTCCAGGCGCACTCGGAGATGCTCTGACGGTACCAATGGTGACATCGATAACATTCTGGTGTTGGGATTGGTGCTTGTGTTCTTGTTGGTGTTGGTACTCTGTCCTCTAGGAAGCTGATTCGGAGAGAATGTACTCTTTTAGCTCGTAGTCGATATTAATGTTGAATTTGGCGCTGAGAACACTGTCTCGATCTGAAGAGACTCCGCGAGTGCTCAGGGAGAGAGTGCAGATGCTCAGGGCGATAGAATCTAGCATAACTGGCCGCCTGATTGGGGTGCTGGGTGTTTCTTCGTTTTGGTGTTGATGTTTGTATTGGGTTGGTGATGTATGATATCAGACTCGTATTGAAAATCAGCCTTGCCGACCGGGGTGCAGGTGAGAGGAGCCTCATTGGCTGACAAATCAAATCATTCGAGCACTCTGCAGCAGCACCTGCAGGAAAGAGCCTCCTCGGCCTTGGCAGAAACCAAATTTTTATAGCACTCAGGAGTGGTTTGCTAGCATCATGAGACTTCAATGAAATCGTCTTGCCCCTTTTGCAGCAAGCGGTACAGCTCCTCCACGAACTTCGATAAACATCTTCGAACTACACATCCATTTGAAGCAGATGAATGGCTGGGAAACCAATTTTTACTCCTGGAGCGCGATCAAGAGGCACCCGATGACACTCACGACAGCCCGGAAGGCATTCACGATTCCTATTCAGATGCCCATGACGACTCGGATAGTTCGGAGAGCAACAGTATCAATTATCATGACCAAGATCCCGATAATAATTCAGATCTGGAATCCGAATCATATTTTATGATGGAAGAGACAGATGGAGATGCAAATAGGCATGACGCAGCGACAACGATTTACGAGGGTGCTGGGGAGCGTCTCTACCGCTCGGAGGACTACGACGAATGCTCACAAAACCTTCTCCGATACCCGTGGCACCCATTCAACTCAGCATACGAGTTTAGAATGGCACGTTATTTCATACTGTCGAAGGCCTCACAAGGAAATATCGACAGTTTCTTTCTACACGCTCCGTCAAGCAGTGGCGAATGCTCCTACAGGACTGGGCGAGGTTTTATAAAGGGGTTGGACGAAATGAATGACATGTTGGGAAAGGCGAGCTGGCATCATTCGGAGGTGGTTATTGGGGGAGAGAAAATCCCTTACTATTACCGGGATCCAATGGTAATTGTGCGATATCTTCTATGCCAACGGGCCTTTCGGGAGTCATTGGTGTACGCGCCAGTGGTAGAGTATAATGAATCTGGCGAGAGAATGTATGGGGAAATGCATACGGGAGATTGGTGGTGGGAGACGCAGGTCTGGTAAGCCTCACAAGTGCTCTAGAGGCAGTCGCTAATGCTTTCTGGACAGAATACTTTACCGGAGGGGTCGACTGTGGGACCAATTATATGCGCGTCAGATGGCACACATTTGACAAATTTTATTGGGGACAAGAAAGCCTGGCCAATCTATCTTACCATCGGGAACATCAAATCATCGGTCCGGAGCAAGCCCACCGGGCATTCATTAATTCTCCTAGGGCTACTGCCAGTCCTACCTAAGCTCGGGAAGAACTCACTCGCTAATTCCGCTTTATGACGTCAGAGTCAAATGGTGCTGCATCGCGCCCTTGGGGAGATCTTTCAGAGCATTCGGGAGTGCTCTCAGGAAGGCGAGCTAATTGCATGCGCCGACGGGTACGAACGTCTTTGCTTTCCGGTGTTGTCGGATTGGATCGCTGATCAACCTGAGCATTCAAACTTACAAAATATTAGTACTAGCTCTTGTCCAAGTTGCGAGGTGGAATTCCACAGTCTTGGGAGCACTCGCCGGAGCCCTACGCGCGATCACGAGGATTACCGGGAGAGGGTAAAGCTATTCAGGGAGAACCCGTGAAACCTGGGACTGGTGGAATACCTTGTCGCGAGATCAGTAAAGACACTCTTCAATGCTTTCTGGGGTATGCCGAGGGTTAATCTATACGATCTCAACAAACCGGACATTCTGCACAATATCTACCTAGGCATGTTGAAGCACATGATGGAGTGGGTTCAGGCTTTCTTGAAGAAGCACAATCGTTTGGAGGAATTTGACAAGGCTTGGGCCTCGATTGCGCCTTACCCTACACTGTCAGTACCGAACAAGGCATATCGTGCCACAACCCAATGGCAAGGGAAGGAGATGAGAAATCTGGGGCGGGTCGTTCTTGGAGCACTCGCCGCTGCTTTGAGAAACCCGGGGGTGGCTGTCAGGGGCGACTTCGCAAAGGCATTGAAATGTGTACGAGGCTTAATCGACTTCCACTTAATGGCGCAGTATGGGAGTCATACGACGAGCACACTGAATTATATGGAGAGCTATCTCGAGGATTTCCATAAGCACAAGGATATCTTTTTCGAATTCCGGGCGTACAAGAGAACGGTTAAGGATGCGAGAGATCGGACAAAAGCTGTGAAGACCTCAGGCTCCCAGAGCGCTCAGCGAGGTTTGGAGGAGATTCGCGAGATACGGGAAAGGTCTCACTTCAACTTCATCAAATTGCACGTGTTAACGCACTATCGGGAACATGTCGAGCGCTTTGGGAGCATTCCCCAGTACTCCACCGACATCAGCGAACTCGCCCATGTACGTCAGATAAAAGAGGCATACGGAGCATCCAACAAGGTTGATGCTGCAACGCAGATACTGGACTATGGGGGGTGGCGGTTGGCGTTAGAGATTCGAATGTTGAATCTGAAAGACATTGTTGGAGGTCCTGAGAGCACTGACGATATCCTTTGGAGCCATCGAGATAACCTGAAGGAGTTACTTGAGATTTTTAAAATCGAAGACCGGAAAAAAACACCAAATGAACGATCCATAGTAGAAGGCCGACTGCCTCTCAGGCGTCTTTGCAACCCCTCCACTCTAGTAGGGGAATGTCGGACAGGATTTTGAGGTTGCCTGGGAACCGTCGTCCCACAATTCCCAATTCCGTGTTTACGGATTAAATAGGCCGCCCCGAGTCCATCGCCATCGTCAAATATGTAGGTACCGGGGGTCGTGGAGCTGATGGCAGGGGCGTGGGTGGTGGTTGTGGGCTGTTGGGTAGGGTAACTCCCTGTGAGTCTTAGCGGCCTGTCCTACAGCACTTTCGGCGCCGTCGCTCACCGGTAGGGTACCACGATCGATGCCTGCATGGTACCGAACGCACCGTCTCAAACTCACGATCATGACATCGCTCGAAATTTAACGATGCCGAGTTTCCCCATCCTCCGCTTCGATGGAACACATGAATTTCGGATTCTGACCTCCGGGTTACCGGATTGGGCGAATCCCATTCCTCGATTCCGATGTGTTTTATTATAACGACTCGGATTCTGATCTCCAGCTTACCGCCCGGTGTGTTTTCTAACAGTAATCCGGATTTCAATCTCGGATCATGATATTTGCAATACTAGAAACCCAATATGTGAGTGACAATCCATTACCGACATTCCATATTCTGTATTGTTGCACCCTGGTTTTACATATCTCCTGGTTAGGGTTGCTCAAAATTTCGAGAAAATGAATTCCTTCCGGTAACTTACTGGATTATACTTTCCGACTCACAAACTGAACTTTTTTGAAACATTTGAGTTTTGTCTGAAAGCCGCTAATCCCGAAACCTAACGAAAATTTTCAAATATACTTACAAACTAAATTGTGATATATAATATTAACAATTTACGATCCTAACAACACCAATAAAATTTTTTACAAAGACGATGCTGTGTGTCAATAGACTGCAGGATATACTAAAATCTCATCGGATATTTATTTGTACGGAACGTTATTGACACAATTGTCCCTGAATTGTGAACTCTGATCTCTCCCAAATTACTTGTTTAATAAAGGAAAACAATCTTTGTAACCATAGCAAAATACTCATAACCTGTTATAAACAACCCCCTTACGCCCCTCTACCCCACCGAGCCCTGCAGGCAGGAAAAGAAGACTTTTACAAGTCTCTCCTGTCTCCGACTAGCGCGGTATATCCATCATCTCGCAATAAGGCGTCCTGAACATATGCTTTTTGAGAATCCTAACAACAGGAATTTTTGCCCCCCCACAGTTCGCCGAAACCTAAGCTCAATCAACTTAATCTACTATCATCGAACAAACCGAACTGAACAATGAACCATTCTTAATCTTCGCAGAATCCACCTCATACAATTAATCATACATACCCCGATATTACTACATTTACTCAAGGTTTGTCCTACACGAATCAAACGGCGGAGTAGACCTGATTTTTATGTTTTGATTAGATTAGTGCAGGTAGTCATTGCATTACTATTATTTCAAAGTGGAATCAAAGTACTAAATTGCTATAAAAGAACGCGGTATCTTTTCAGAAAGTGCAGTAAAACAAGTGGTAATAATGATTCGGTTGAGTGCGGAAATAATTGTAACACCCTAGGATCCCTGTAACATGAATATAGCGGTGTAGATTTTCTCGTCAAGAATTGATTTCTAATTGAAGATATTGCGAGTGCTTGTAGAGCACTTCGGATATTCCTAACAGTGATCAGAACGGCTTCCTACAAGTACCCGTCCAGTGCAGCACCTAATGTACTAAAGCGCCTATGACTCTCAACACGATTTGAGGAAGATGGAGAGATTGATGACCGTGAGACATCTTCCTTACTATTAACCCCACTGCCAACCTGCACTCAAACTAGTCAATTGACAACTGTTACCTAAATAGCCTGGAAAGGTTTTCTTGGTTCTTCCGAAATCTGCACTGGGAGGAGCAGTCCTCGGGGGTAGAATTTCATTTCCCCGAGTAGCATACTGACAATTTTGAAGCACAAAAGGAGCCTAAGTCAATTTAAGTACCCGAGGCGGAAGAAATAATTGATACTCGCTACTCAGACTATTATAATGCTCCGAAGAACGACTACGAGTGCTTTCAGGAGTATGAGGATGATGTAACGGGGGCAGCCTATCTATGTATCGCTAGAATCCAATAGAATAGATGCGGCCGTGGAAGATAGAAATCAGGTGCAGATTTATTCAAAGATACTGTCGTTAGAACTCAATAATCCTTAAGGGCTCTGCTACCGATAATAGGAGATGATTCTGATAATTTTCGATGAGGATTCCGGACAGTTAGGCGGGAATGATCCTGAGTACTTATACTCCAAAGGACTCTGTTCTCTGCTCCTACTTCCTTACTAAGTTCCGGTGCTGCCTTCCAGCGGAAGGGAAGCAATTCCATCGCTACCGCGCTTCTCTCTAAGCGTCAGCGAGTGCTTCCGGTTCCGAAGGCAACCACCCTTAATCAAAGCCTTTGTAACACCTGCAGCCTTTGTTGCCACACAACTGGGGCCTGCATGAATGAGCTGCCGCTTAAGTGTAAGCTTAATCATTGCTGTAGAGCTTTCGCTTATTGTAGACTTCCCAGGTGTAATCCCTTCCATTACCAGCGGACTTCACATGCTCAGAGGATGTAGAGGATCGCCGAGCACTCAGAGCTTCACTCTGGCTGGCATTCTAATCATTGGCGAGGCACAGACTCATCAGTGATTGCTCCCATGAGTAGATCCTCTTCCTAGCGCTCAGAATGTAGTTACTCTGACGGCTGGTAGCTAACCACACTGCCGGTACTTGCATGTCACTGTGCAACTGGCTTCTAACAATAACTCTCAGCATGTAACCGGGCCCTGTGTGTACTCATACACCAGACAGTTGAAAAGGCTCCATTACAGATGAACTGTATGATGAACCTCAAGCCCTCGCCTTAATGTTAGATGCAGAGGTCTCAGACTGTTGGAAAGAGACCTCATACAATACAAGAACTGTCAGAGCACTGGACAACGCTCAAAGGAAACCAATTGCTGTTGTAGCGGAGGTAATTACTTCTTGCAACGTATCGGTGGATGTGGTACAGGTTCGACTCCATCTCGCCCCTCAATGCTTTTCAAAATTTTAGTATTAGTGGTCAACAGTTTAGAGAGGAACTTGTCGGGGCGCGAAAGTAATACGTAAACAAAGGAGAGCAGCACCCACTCCAGCACCCAGTCAGAATGCATGCTAGAGAGCACTGCCAGCATTCCAGAGAGCACCCCCGACATCCCAGATAGCACCCCCAACACCCTCACAGTATAGCCCCTCTGCACTTATTTTTCTACATTAATATACTTCTTCTATGCCCTAGATCGATTTTTCCTTCATGTAATCTCGAAACGGAATGTCGTCTCCCACGTACCGGAAATATTGTTCTTCACCCCGTAGCAAAGTAATTGGCAAGCACTCTGTTAACAGTCGTTCCGGGAATTATCTATATATCGTATTTTAAATCTTTCGATGGGGTAAGAATGCTAGGGGTTAGGGATCCCGAATTCCCATAGCCCATAACTCCTACCCTTATTTGCATGATATCGACAGCAATCTAGTACGGCAACCGCACGTAGTTAACAGGGAGTTACTTGAAGCCTAATAATTTTCAGTCAAAGAATGTGGCTTTTGTGAGTAAGTATGGCCCGATACCCTCATTGATAGGGCGAGTGACTTGGGAGCAATGCCGGAAGCTATTAGGATTTTACGGGATTGCCCAACTGATATCTAAACACTACTAGAAACGTTCAACAGTATGAGCAAAGTTTAGAAGATGAGAAATAAATAGAACCAGGAGGCGACCTTGTAGGTAATCAAAGACAACCTTTGAGAAAAGGAATTATACTTCTAGATGCCGGTATTGCGAGTGGTATTCTAAATGATTACCCTAATAGATACGAAATAAAAAGGGGGTAACCATTGAGGTGTTACCGGAGGAGGATTTCAACGGGGACAATGAAGCGTTGGTTGCGGATTGTGCCAAATTCCAAATGCTCAGAGAACAGGCAGGAGTGCTTCAGGAGGGCGGGTTTGTTCCGACAGTACCCAGTAAAGAGTGATTAATGCCCAACCTCGCGGTATTGACACTGAAGAGGAGGGGGAGGAGTAAGGGGAGTAGCTGGGATTACTTGTAGCAAGGGATTATGAAAGGAGGGAGAGCAGGATTTGTAGAACAATCGCGAGTGCTAAAGCAGATAGTGGAGGATTTGTTCTTCTCCGTATACATTATTGGAGTTAGTTGGGATATTTAAATAGCATATCATTTGAGTATTAGGTAGGGTATCACGATATTGAATAGACCAATGCTATCGGTGCAGTCGTGGGTGCTATGGAGTCAGTAGAGATCGTCTTCAGCATGATGTTTTGGTAATCTCATTGGGGGATTTTGAATCCTATAGCCTGGTACCGTAGAGAAGTGTAATCCAGGAGAGAATGGGGTACCGACATATAGGAACCGGTACATCATACGTGACTCAGATTTCAAAGCACCTGATCTGGCAAATTCAGGAGGCGTCAGGGCAATAAATCTATCCCAGGGCCAACCGAAGAAGTTGAGAGTAATACAGGAGTAGTAAGGATAAACAAGCAGGCAACTAGCATACCCTCTGCATATTAGTCTAAAGAGCGCAAATCAATCCAATTATATAAGCATGATTACAACTGAAACCATATATGATTGACAGGAACCGGATATTATAGTTTAACGTATTAGATTGCATCAGCAAGCTACCGTGTGTCCCCGGAGACTTCTACTTGTCTCTAGAGACAGCTGCTGAGGTGGATTGTCTCTTCAAATCTCCCGTGGATCCTCGTTTCTCGCTTACTCCCTTGAACCTCAGGGGTTGCCCTGTTTTCTCTGGATGCTCTACAGGGATATTATCCAAAACCTCCACCGAATACCGAACACCTGTACCGGAGTCAGTTGGCGGTTCAGATAGAACGTTGTCAGAATACAAACTAATGATTAAACACACCGGGGAGCGTCTCAATTGTTATATACTGCTTGATGAGCCTTGGCCACAACTAGAATGTCTTATAGTTAATATTTGAAGATTTTGGCCAGAAGCAAACAATCC